TCGGTGCGATGCCATCTCCCGGCTTGGCAGTTTAAACAATCGCCTAAGTTTGTTAAATATCCCTCCTCCCCACTTCCCCGCCGCTGTCCACGCAACGGTGTAAACGGCTACACCACAGTTAGTCGATTGGCAGATGGCGTGTGGCGAGGTAAAGCGTGGGTACTCCCATCTCTTTCAACAGGTTGGTCAACGTGGAAGCATAGGCCAAGTCTGCCACAGAAGGCCTCTCTCAAGCTCCCTCTATTGGATGCAGGGCTGTGCCCTCACCGACTATTACTGTGACTGTTCGAGTAGCATGTTGAGAATTTCTCTGATGTAGCTTTTAAAATAAAATATTACACTAAACCTGGCACCTTTGTAGATTACTCATGCGGTTTCCTATCAGCTTCCCAGCCATCCCATATCACAATAGGCGGTTTTCCTGTTCGCCACTTAAAAGTCTTACTCTTCTATTAATATCCGATAAGCGACATTTTCTATTTCTTTATAAGTAAATATTAAAATGCATAATATGTGTATATATTAATATTATAGATTTGCAACTTTCACGCAGATTACAGGCTGCACTGTCAATGCAGCTCAACTAAGCTCAGGTGAAACTTATACCCCCAACCCCAACCACCCATTGCTCCCACTGATAAGATAGAGCCAATTTGCACACCTTGTTCCCACGCACACAGAGGGAACGATAAAATGAAAGTTCATCAACGAGTTGACGGCCTCCCCGCAGTTGAGCGCGCTTCCATTGAGGGGTATCAACTTTTTGTTTTTCCATTGGCTAGCACTGTTTGTCACAACAACCGTCAGCGCTGCAGCAATGCGTCGATTCGTCGGCTGACATCTATACCTGTAAACCACTGGGGCCAAGGCAATTTTATTTTTGTTTACACACACACACATACGTGGCGCCGTTATGGCACAAAGCTCTCACTCAAAGCACCATCATCACGCTAATGAATATTCAAAAATTCTAAACAATGAGGACAAATATATATTTGCATACTATCCTCTCGTCATGGCTAGCAGTCCTGAACGTATTGCAATACGCAAAGAGTAGAATCGACTCATATCGGATTATTAATCTCATGATAGATGCATAGAATCCAGTGTACATGAGGTCTATATTCTTTGGGTCTTTTGGTAAAGTCATGTAGAAAGAACAATAAAAGAATAAAAATTAAGTATAAATCTAAATAAAGTGAATAAATAATAAATATATATCATGACGTTTCGATCGCAACAGAAGCAATCGTCATCAGGAGAAAAAAGAGGGGGAAAGCTGCTGAGGCCGGGAGGGTGTAGCCCAAGGGTCATAAATGAAGTGGGCAGAGCTAGTGATGTTAAAGTGAGAGAGATTAGCATGTCAATGTAATAGATTAGCATTGCCAATGTAAACGGCGGCTGTGTTAGTGTGAACCTGTTAATGTAAAATCAGAGAGTCGAAAATAACTGCTAACATCGGAAGGTAGGATGGAAACATCACAGCCAGTTATGACCTAAACTGGTTAATAACGTCCTTCCAATGATTGCTCAGTGTGTACACATCTTCTCGGTTGAAATTGTGTCTGTGTCTATATATCTGGATGGCTTCATCAACAAATCTTCGTTGATAGCCAGTGGATTTGCAAAGTACCTTCGTCTTGGACAAATCAATTTCGTGTGAGCCCACCGCGTTAAAGCAATTATCAGCCACGGCTGAGGCATTGGTCCAACCGTGTTTCAGATCTGCCTTATGTTCACGAACACGGTCCAAGACATTTCGCTTAGTTTCCCCAATGTAACTACTGCCGCAGACACAGCTTAGTTTGTAGACGCCGGGGTATTGCATGTCAGGGATCACATCCTTCAAAGATAAGATCAGATCACACATTTTATGTATTGTGTTAAATCGAACCTGGATCTTGTGTTTGCTCATGATTTTGGAAATCCTTTTGGTGACCCCTGCTATGTATGGCAAGGTGATGGTTTTGATTGGGCCCTCAGATGGTACTTTCCCAACGGTTGGGGTGATAGCTTTACGGATTGTGTAGTCTGAATATCCATTCATCTTGAGGGCTTGTGTATGTGTTCCAGTTCACTGGCTAGGTGGTGATGGTCGGAAATGCAACGAGCTCTATGGTGTAGAGTTTTGATGAGGGAATTCTTCTGGGATGGATGGTGGTGGGAGTCAGGTTTTAGGTAGGCATCCATATGGGTGGCTTTCCTGTAGACAGTGTCCCATTGAGCCATCTGGTCTCTTTTCAATAAAAAAAATGTTCTATCTACGTGACTTTACCGAAAGATGCAAAGAATATGAATTCCTGCAGTCACGAAAGCTTTAAGTCAAGATTTTCATGAGGTCTGTTGTTGCATGTAAAAGCTTCACATAACTCCTGAACCAACCAGAAAAAATAAAATATATTTTGAGCAATTCAAATATTTCACCTAACAAATGCTGTGAGGTGAAATAAAATCTAATTATGAAGGATGTAAATTTTGACAAGTGTACAAATATTTAACATCTATAATCAAGAATTTGTTTGATTAAATTGTGACCTTGGAGCACTACAGTTCATCAAATCACCAGCACATTGTTAGTACTGATTGAAATTTTGTCCAAATAGGTACAAGTGTTTATTCGTGATTATATATAGCAGTAACTTTTCATCAAATTTTTCACTTCCTTATTATGCTTGTTTACCCAGAAAATCATCAATAACGCCTCCTAACTTATTCATGAGGCCCCTGCAAAGTTTTCGCAGGAGGGGAGATGCTTGCCGAGAATAATTCCGTCATGAGTTTGTCAATGTCCGCTGTGAAGCAGACCACGCGTATTTCTACGGTTTAATTTATTATTCTTCTTGTTGTACGGCTGCTGATGTAGTTGCAGAGCAACGACTATAATTTCACATTCAGGTGGTCAAGCGCAGATAACCGCGTCAGGAGCAGTGGAGTAGTTGCATCATCATCTCCGTGATGTCTCCTTCGTATTTGTGGGTCGGGCCTTGCGTTGTTATTCGTTGTACGGTGTCTGTTCTGGATGACCACAGTCGCTCACGACTGGAGAGTTTTCTTTATTTATTTTCCATTTGTCCATCAGGTATCCGCATCCGCCATGGTGTGAAAAGGGGATGCGGTTTAGGGTGGACCATGGGCTTCGTGGAAGATCAAATCCAGGGATCTTCTGCGTTGGATATTTCACAAGGTGTTTGTTGGTGAGTTCTACTCAACTCCATTTAGCTCTCCAAGCTGCATTCAGCTCTCCAAGCTATAGTTAACACACCCGAAGTATTAACAAGGGCGGCCGCTCAATTCAAACCGCAAACCTCTGCAACGAGCGGCGGACGTGCCATCGCTGTGCCCGTGTCAACATCCACGTGCAATGGCGCGTGGGGAAAAATAATCCGACTTGCTAAACAAAACCGCGACTGGATTGCAATAGTTACAACCGATTAGCCGGTGTGCGAACGGTGCAATCGTTATGCATACCCAATTGGCCACTTGGTGGCATCGACTGAAGGCCATCTCCGCTCAATAGCTTTCTGGGACCCTTGCGCAGACACGAGATCCTGGGAACAAGAAAGTCGACTGCCCTTTGTGCCATCGGCTGTTCGCTGTTGGTGAACTCAGCGTTGCGTAACCAATTCGTCAATCAATCTCTCTTTTTAAAAACAATGCAATGGCCAGTTGAAAGTAAAAGTCGAATTGTAAAGGGAGAGCTGGGGTAATAACAGCAATGTAGTACAATGTGTGATAAAAGCTCACACACTGTGGTTTAATGATTATACCCCTTGGCGATTAGATTAATTGCCACGGTCCAGGGTCGCAATTCAATTCAATAATCGTTTAATTTCGAACATTATGGGGAATGGCAGCGGTTACTAGTGGCTGCACGGGTGACGTAAACCCATTATATACAACATATATGTATGTACGTTGAACTTCTTTCGCACCGTACGTAGCCAACCGTTCTAGTCGGAGAAACACATTAATTATTAACACATGCAATTCGATGCACACGCAACATGGACTCAAGAATTTTGATGTAAAATCATGAACCGAGGCATGATTTGCACCGCTCGTACACATTCCATTACCTGCCACGGCTAACATCAGTGGTGAGCGATATCCAATCCAGTCCTGGGCCACCCTTTACCAGCTTACGATGAGCAGCATGGCCGAGTACGGTGAAACTACCCCCATGACCAACACAGATGTGAGGAGGCCTTCATCCAACAGTTAATTGGCAAAAGGTTGTAAATAATTATTAATAATTATTGTTTACTATGTTAAGAAGGAGTGCTTGTTAAATCCATATTGTCCAATAAACCACCAACCAAAGTAGTAAATGTCTACTGGACAGATGCCTACTGGATATCTATGAAAAAAAGCTTTATAGGTCATCAGATTCCTTCAGGATAAATAAAGATTCTGATTCTGTAAATTATTCAGTCACTGCCATTCGATCGCGGACATGCCTCGTTCTACGACTTGCGTGGATTTCCGTGGGTTGTGCCATATATCCCTCTCACCTTGTCACCTTGTGCCGTCAGTACGACCTCTGGCGACATCCAAGACCAGACTCCGCCATCCACACCTGTCTCTCACTGCCTCGTAGCTGGGTTAGCGCAAGGCCAACGTTGTTCTTGATGTCGTCCATCCACCTCCTCAGAGGTAGACCTCTGCCCCTGCTACCTTCTTCATTCCCAAGCAAAACCCATTCCTCAAGTCCAGAGGTCCTCATAACGTGTCCAAAGTACATCTCTCTCGCGTGGTTCCAAACTCAGTTCCTTCAAGAAGCTTCCGGCACGTGGAGCGAAACGTCGGACACCGTGCCGGCCAACAAAGCAACGACCCGAAGAACACGTCAGAGAGCTATGCGTCGCAATCGCAGAATGCCCGGCGTCTCCGGGGACCTCATGGGGTCCCTCATGGGGTCCCTCATGGGGTCCCTCATGGGGTCCCTCATGGGGTCCCCCCCCGGGGATCCCCCCCACCTCCACCCACCAGGCTGCCCTCACCTGAGTGCGTGGTCCAGCGTCTTCCCGGAGAAGTCGAAGAAGCGTAGGTATTCCTCGGCCACCATCCGACTGAACTCATTGCTGTGGTTCGTGCGGGCAGCACAAGGAGGGCATCAGGGAGAGAACGACAAATCATTTTAATACCACGAATACGAATAATACATCATCACCGTTGGCCAAATCAACCTTAATGCACCAAATTTTGTAGACCTCACATGCTAAGTAGAGTTCAGCCTAGTTAGTACTTTGATTGGAGACGTCCTGCAAATATCAGTTGCTGTAGAATTGGGCTGTGAATCAGCCAGATCGCAGAATGGAAATGGATGATTGAATCTTAACTGTGAGGAGCTTTGTGTGTTATCGCTGCTTTGTGTGCGTGTGGTTTTCCACGGGTACGTGGGATTCCTTTCATGAGGCTCAGTAATGCTTTCTTGAGCAAATTAAGGGCATTATCAGATGTATTAATTACTTACCTGTGTTGTCAATGGTAAATTCTAAATAAGTTTGCGTAGTCTTGCTGCCACCTAGTTATTCCTCTGGTCATGTCTCCACCTCTGTGCAAGCTAAGGTTTACCACCACCTGTCCATCCTGCCATGGCAACACTATTTTACAAGTGGCAGGGGCGAAATGACTTTGGGACGTTCTAGTCTGCTGGGTGGACAGAGGGCCGGGAGAATTAAAATTAGAAACTAGCCCAGTGGCTCCGCCGGGAGACGGAAACCACAACGTTTGCGTTTCTACGTAGGATCTGGTTTGAATAAACTATCAATTTGAAACTATCTTTATTTTACTAGGTATGGTCCACGGAGCTATACGGCTCTTTTTCAGAAGCGACCTGGCCACAAATGAGAGCTCAATGAAGTGGCTTATAACGTGGAAATTGATAGCAGCCAAATACTCCAAACGCCCATTTCAAAATGTGGAGGGAAAAAAACCAGAGGGCCGGAAGAAAAATCCACGCCACCACAGGGAGATAGACATGCAAAGTCCAAATACACAGGCATCAGGGTCGGTATCGAACCCACGAACTCCTGTCATACCAGGCGAGGAAGTGAACATCTCGTTACCCTGGCGCCCATGCGCGGGGCAATACGTGGAAATCAGGGCGGTCGGCTCGCAAGTCGCGCGGGCGTGACGATAAAGCAAATTAAGAAACGACGGTCCAGGCGAGCGTGAAGAAGACCCCGGCACCGCTCGTCCGTCGTTTTCCAACCGCAAGGCGGATGGGGCAGGTACAGAGCTAACGCTCGAGCAGCCGGCGGCGGAAGGTGCGACGGGCGGCACGTACTTCTTGCCGAGGTGGCGCGCCACGTCGGAGCGTCGGAAGCCGTCGAGGTAGAAGAGGCGTCGCGCCAGGCGGTGCGCGGCGTCCACGTCCGCTCGGCTTCCGTTGGTTATGAAAGGCGGCGGCTCGGAGAAGACGCCCCGCGGTTGCCGCATTTCCATGCTGCCCTGGCCGGGGACGCGCCCGTCCGCCTGCCACGCGTTTTCCCGCGATGCCTCGGGAAGCCTGGCATCACTGCTGATTTGCCGTCGGGACAACAAAAACAATTGCAAGGTAATTTCGATCGCGCTCTTTTGCACAGTTGCTGTCGACGGGCTGAGACCGTCAAATCACTACACCTTGTGAACCCAATTTAACCCAATCTATGGACCATATCGTAAAACCACTGGAGTCTGCGCTTCTTCAACGGAGAAATTGCAAATCTACACGAACTCTCTCCTGAAGCCCTCTCATTGTGACTAGCAGACCGCGAGATTGGCATTTAGCACCTGAATGCAGCGCCATCATACACAAGAAGAAAAGAACACGGATAATATTTGAGTTACCAATGTTTAGAGCAGGGGTGGCCAACTGTGACTCAAATGAATGGAAGCAAGAGAAGAACAAAAATAATAAACCAAAGTGAAAAGAAGATAAGTGAAAAAGCACAAATAATCACAGCGGGTTTACTTTATTTTATTATCTGTATTCACGTGTTTGTTATTCTTAATATCGTGGAAATGCTGGGTATCCATAGCGATGCAGCTGATGACAGGATACGTCTGTGGAAGCGGAATGGCATGGGGCACTCACCCCTGACAGACGGAGACAGGAGCCAGACACAAATTATCGCAGGCGTGCCATGAAGGATTCACACCCCCTACAGCAGGGGTCGGCAATATTTCAAGAGCCTCAATGCACGTGAATACGAGATGGTGGTTCGTAATAAATAACGTCACGAAGCGGTCCTTGAAGAGCCGGATGTGGCTTCAGAGCCGCATATTGCCAACCCTTGCCCGAGAGACGATTGTCACAGCGCGTGGAAGTGCCACAAATGAGAGCGCCAGGTGGCGCTCACATTTGCTGACATTGGTGGAAATTCCACATTCTTGCGGCGAGGGATAGCCTCTCAAGAGAATGGGCACTTGATTTGCCCCCAAAGTAATACTCACTTTATCAGGAGCGGCGGAACCATAGGGTCAATTGACCCTCGAAAGGGATCCAATTTTACCGGTGCTATGACGGAAGATGGCCTGGCAATTAGGGGCACGGTGTGCAGGAGACAGCAGTACAGTATAACAATTGCTTATAATATTGAATCCATCTGTGCAGAATTATGCGTGTTACCCCCTCGTACCCATGGGATGTCTTCAGGCACTCCGGTTCCCTCCCATGAGCCAAACGCACGTGAAATAGAATTGGCTACGCACTCACGAATGGAATTGCCAAACATGCGACTTCAGGAACCCTTGTGAAAGAGCATTCTCGACATTAGAGAGCAGTTCTTGAGGAAATGAAGAGCATTGTTTATAACATTACTGTACTCGTATTCATCTCGGTGATTTCCAATCGTTCGTCAACCACTGCAGGGCGACCCGACTTGATAATTACAAAAAAAAACGCCGCGTCTCAAAAATTGCTTGGGTAAGAATAAAACTGCAAACACCGCAGGCATGACAGTCCGGGGCAGCCTTGATGTCAGGTAAAAATAAACACAAACATTGGGCAAGATCTGCATAGCTCACTGCCGGTTCTGGCGCTGTTACAAAGATGAATGCTGCCGTTTATGTATGCAAGCACCGAGAATGTAGTGCCATGCATTGATAAACTGCTACTATGGTGCTGTATGCATTTGAAATACAAAAATATGTAGCAGATGGTAAATATAAGCACATCCTTTTGAAGCAAGGTCAGGTGTGTTTATATCTGAAGTGTCCTTGAATAAGAAGGCATATCAGAAGCTCCACTTTTCTACACCTTGGAACGACGTCACGAGACCTTTAATATCCACTGTGAAACAGATGGAACGTATTAATACCGTTATTATACCCACAGCATTAACCGCAGCTTCTACTCTACTATAGGTGTACTGTCTTCGTTATAAAGAAACATACATCAGCAGTCAGGCCTGTAAGTCAAATTGAAAGCTCTAAAACAGATTCATAACACAACAATATTGTTTTACGTGAATTGACTTTACATGTTTGGTTATTTCCCAGAATGCTCTGCAGCAGTAGAGCATAATAATGTTTGTTTTTTAATATACGAAATGTCTGTGGGACATTAAAAGATATTATATGCATCACTTATGCAATATATAATAAAGTTCATCTATTGTCAAACCACTGATGGATAAAGGCCTCCACAAACCAAGTCAGTCATAGGTGTTGCTTGACCATACTTCACCATTCTTTGCAAGACTGGACAATATTTCTATTTCTCTTTGTACTGAATACACATACAATCAACACTGTATTTCTGCTTGTGAATTCAAAAGGAAAAAAAAACAATATGCCACAAAGGAACAAAAATATATATGACCAACTCAAAATGATATGGAAAATATAACTAATTTTCACTTTAGCATCAAAACATCTTTTATCATAAACTATCACCAAAACAACGATTTTTTATTACGTGTTAAATTACGAACGTATATTTCTTCCAGTGTTAATCAATCTCACCCATTCGAAATGTTGGCATGGGAACGCGTTACAATGCAGCAATTGTGCGACACTAATTCACTTGATTTAATTAACAACGGTAGAATTAGATTTTTTTTCTCTCACAGGCATTCGCATTGACACACACGGAGCTGTGCCCCCCCCACCCCCCCCCCCCCCTTGGAAAATTCCTACGTTGGTATTTTTGTCATCGAATTGAACGTATTAACCCGTACTGCGTTGTGTACTTCCCCCTCTTCTGCTCAACATAGCAACAGTCGGTCTTAAAAAAATAAAGTATTTTTTCATGATGATTCAATCGTATGGCAGCAAATCAAGTTTCCATATTGCTGAATGTACGAGTAATTTGCACTGCTCTATATGAGCGAAAAATGAAATCGCATGTTTTGGACCAGAAATTCAATTGTGCTATTTGCAAAACATCTCCTTTAGCGCATAAACTGTAAGCTTCGCCAAATGGGCCCCACTTTGTCCAGTGTAATATTAATGTCCAATAGCCGGGGCGTCGTGTCAAGGCATGTTATTTCGATGGCACTAATAATTTCAAAACGAATCACTTTCGCCCGTCATTTCACAAATCCATCCAGTCTAGATTACCCACCTCCAGCGTCAGCTCCCAAGACTCCCTGTCCACCCCTCGCAACCCCTTCGCTGTAAACAAACCCCACGAACTGGGACCGTGTGCACGCAAGTGCCGTAGTTGCACAATTGCCGCCGGCTTGACCAGCGGTGCGGAAGAAATTACTGCCAAACATTTCTTGGTAAAGAGAGCCGCGGAGAAAGCGAAACTGCAACTCACTGCTTGAGCTTCATTGGCATTTGACATAGGACAGGCGTGTTTAGAATAATGGGCCAATTTGCGTGGGGAACTTTGGCAATGTCTAATGCCACGTGTTTCAGGACCGTTGACAACTGGGTTAGGTGGCCCAGAAACGGCCCACGAACGGGCCCCACTGGCGTTCTAGGATCAAAAGGTACGATGCCGATCAGTGTGCCCACACCTAAACTAAAAACGAAACTATTTTTTTGTTACACCATGTAAAGCCCACTGAGATATATAGCTCTTTTTTCAGAAACGACGTGGCCACAAATGATAGCTGAACAAAGTGGCTTATCACGTGGACATTTCGAAGAGCTAAATGCTCTAAACGCACGTCGATTCTAAATGTGGAGGTAAGAACCGGAGGGTCCGGAGAAAAATCCACGCAGACTTCATATATACAGCAGGCGTCAGGGTTGGGATCAAGCACATGACCTCCTGTATACCAAGTGAGGGAGTTAACATCTTCCCTAGCCACCGTGGTGCCCCTCAAGAGCCATGAGGCTCCAAGAGCTTGGCCACCCTCATTCTGTCCGCTCCACTCTTTTCCCCACCCTCTCCCTAATCATCCATGCCAGATGAGAATTAAACATGTTAGGAAATATCATGTAAACACATGACTCGTGAAACTCTTTTTTTCAAAAAAACGTTCAGGAGCATTTACTTAGCAGTATGGTAGCGGGAGAGGAGTTGTCAGGGCAACATTAATTGGCATATTTGCAAATAAGTGCTTTTAGTTCTGGTTTTAGACTCCAAGTTGTAGTGTCCCGTCCATTACAAATGTAGAATGTTAAACAGTGTTTGTGACAAGTTGAGCACGGTTAAACCAATACAAGCTAAAGTGTATTAGTTTAACATGTAGGATTTCGCCAAACAATATTATCCTGATGATGATAGTTGTAATTACTGGCTAAATGTCATAACCGAATTGCAAATGTTGTGAGTTTACTCTCCAATGCACCGGTGTGCTGTAACTATTAACGAAGTGGCATGTTTTGTTATCGTGACAAACCTTACTAATCAGCCTTGTCGGGTTGTGGCGAGTTTAACTACACATATTTACGCGATCTAAACCAAAAAAACCCTACTAGGCATGAAGTATATCATTTTGTAATTTTATGGCTTATTTGTAAAATAAAGCAATGAAAAAAAAGACATGGTCCTCAATTTAAATTCAAATGACCACACGTCCCGTTTCACCTGTTACGTTCTGAATCATTGGCATCACCAACGGGAGGCATGAGGCTGATGTTGCATTTCCACATTTCTGGAACCCATTCTATTTTGTAATAACACCGTTGGTGTTTCCATAGGCATGAGTTTGGGGTCTGTGATACAGACTTGAGTGGTTTCCGAGTGGAATAAGCATGAAATAGTGTGCGAGACAGTGAAAAAAAACTTAGAAATACAGAAGATACGAAACCCAGGGAGAGAAAAAAACTTTTACCACCAACAGCGTTACTTAAGATTAAACAAATCAAATGCAAGTGATGTCATCTCTGGGAAATCAAGCTTCATAACACACGGCACATATATAATAATTAATGATACTGCCAAATATCTCAAAGCAGGACCCTGCTGAAATTGAGTTGAGTCTTTGTAAATATTATTATTGCATTATATTTCTTCAGCAGTCACCTCATGTGTTAATTTATCAACGGAATTTACTCTGCCAGATAATAAACCACAAAAAATGATAGTACCTCTCTTACAACGTGTCACCCACTACTGAGAAAAAAACACACGTATTTAAT